AAATGGAGAAACAACCCATTATCAAAACAACAATCTGTGAATGAAGAGTCCAAAAATTGAATATGTGTATGTACAAAATTTAGTGATAAGGAAGTAAATACGTAAAATAGAAACATTTATGGATGTGCATTAGGGCGGGTCAATTATTATTTTTTTTACTATGCGCGTATAGCATAAGAGGGTTCTACGTGTAATTCTAAGCAAATTTGCTGGAGAAACTATGGGCCTGAAATCAATTAGAGTTTGCCGAATTGCGAAAATTGGTTTTGAAGAAAATGTGAAAATTTTTACCGTTGGGTTTAGAAAAAGATAAGTGCAGAAATGGATTCCTCATACCAAAAGACTCTTGTAGCATATCTTTACACAAAATGTAAGCACTTTACGAAACTTTCTTCTGCAAATTTGCTAAGAATTACTCGTAGAATCCATGTACACGCGCATAGTTGAAAAAAGCTGCCATACAAATTGACCCGCCCTAATGTGCATATGTGCGTGGAAACATAAAATATCCGAAACCGCAATTGTAATACGTAGATGAGTATTTTTTTGAGGCGTGAGTAGCGTAAATTTTTATTGACAGCTTTATTTATTTACTAGACAGCGATTTATTTTATGCTTCTTCATGTTGTTCGCATAGTGGAAATACTTTTACGAGCGCTTGTTGGTTGTTCTTAATATAAAAGGCGGCATTTTGTCTTTTTAAGCCACAGATAACGGCATGGTTGTTGTCTATTTATAGGCGCACTCTACCACATGCAACGGGGTAATGAAGGCACTCAGGCTCGCATAAATAGGTGTGCTTGATTTATGTAAATTCTGATTCTGTATTAAAAACGATTTTGGTTTGAGCAAAGTACTTACAGTGGCAGGCAAATAAATAGGGGTGCGACATTTAAAAAATTTTTTATTTTTTAATTTTATTTTTTATGAAAGCCAAAAGCCAAATAATTCTAAATTTCATATTTTGTTAAAAATTTAGGAAATTTCGACGAAGTTTGATTTTTGACGATTTTGTTTTTTGCCGACGGTAAATAACCTCACATAATATAATAACAGTCAGTCCTAGTTACTTCAAAGTTGCTCTAAAATTTAAAGGTTGCAGCCATACCTAGAATTTTTCTTAAATTCTGAATACAATTTTTTATAAATCTTTTTCTAAATTTGAAAGTTGCTTTTATAGACCGTGAGCTATATTTTTATAAAAAATAATAAACATTAAATAAACAAAAGAAAATAGCCAAAACTTGTTAAAATATCGCGACCCTTTATATTTTCCCGCCATGTATGTCTGTAGGTAAAGAATATCTCCTTTTTCGAATTCACTGAATTTGCCTGTCTCGTAGCGACGGCTGAGTTGAAGATCGGCATATCTCGGCTTATCTATCCGTATACGCGAATATCCGAACGCATATCCAAATATACGGATAGCCTGAGCCCTAATGTATTCCTTGATACTTGATTTACAAAAAAATCCTAGTGTGTCTAACTCAATGCCAGCTTGTGTTCATATACATATATGCACCACTATCTAGTACACCCTTATTCGTCATAAAATTGTTAGAACAAAAACAAACAGCTTTTGTATACATGTACATACGGCATTATTGCTTTCTTCCTCAACCGCTCACCTGCATAGACTTCCATTCTGGTATGCGGCGTCCCAGCTTTTTGCTGCTGCGTCTCTTCATTTCACGATTGCAACGCGATGGTTCCATTTGCTTTGCGGCTTCACGCATTATACGCCAATAAATCAAGAGCATGAATAACCAGATGAACACAAAGCCCGGTATTATGACACCAGCCATATACCAGATGGGCAATACCTGATAGAATTCACATTCAATGGCAGTTTTGAAGCGATTGCTGAAAACCGGTATGATGGCCACCGTCGCACCTGCCGTCCAATTAAAGGCGATAATGAGAAAAGATACGCGGCGTGTCATGAACCTAAAATGACAACGGTACGCGAGTACTTAGTGTAAAAATGTCGCAAAAAAGTACCCACAACAAGTACAACTCACCGTCTATAGTGCAACGCATATACGATTGCTATATAACGATCCACAGCGATTGTAATGAGTGTCATTATGGAGACGCAACAGGAGAAAATGATGAGAACGAATCGCAGTACGCAAAACAGTTTCGACTGTCCGAGATTTGAGCCTAAATAGAAGGCGATATGGTAGGGTAGCAATAGGCCAACTCCGAAATCCGATACGGCGAGCGATAGTATGAACATATTTGCGATTAAGCTGCGCAAGCGCCGACACGTAGTAATGGCCAATATGCTGAGTGCATTGCCCGCAACTATGCAGATCATTATGAGTATGTTGCATGTGACCCAAAAAATGGTCGATGTGCCGATGCCAGCAATGGAGACGGCGGAAACATTTAATGCGGATGATGGCGTTGTGCTCGACTCGGCTAGGGTTGTGGATTGGATCAATGCTAAGACCGTATCATTTATAATTTCATACAAATCGAATTGATTCGTTGCCATTGCTGTTTGTAATAGTTGTTGTTGTTGTTGTTGTGGCTCTAAATATTTTGACTCCCTTGCGTCGTTACATGTTTTTTGATCGATTGCGTGTAGCATTTGATGATGATACTCCAATAGGTTTAGCGCTATTGCTGTCGCTGACATTTAATCAAAGCGGCAAATCAGCTCGTCGTCGTTTCAACGAATGAGTCTATTGTATTAAGTTTTGCCGCACCACTACAAATTGTTGTTTATCGCTGCGCAAGTTGAACATAACTGTTCTCTCATTTAGTTGCTAAATCTATAACTGGAAATTTTAGTCGAATCCAAGATAAACGGAACTGCCAGTTTTCCCACGCCACTAATATGTCCCGCCGTTTTGTAAATATCCAATCAATCATCGGTAAAGACCCGCGATTTTATTGCTATACTGGCGATAAGCGGATTTTCGTTTTTGGTAAAAGTGGAAGTGATGTTAATCTGTACTCATTGTCAGTGATACATGTGTTGATGTCGATTCGAATGGGATTAATCAACATTAGAACGGTATTCTTTTAGCAGGAAAAATCCACGACACTCTCTAGTGGAATGTTCCACTTTTTTTTCTTAATAAGCGATGTTTCCCAGAAACTTGTATCTGAACAATTAGCGGTATAGCTTATACGTACGGTGACCATATTTATGGGAGCCGAATACGGGACAAAAATAATTTTGCGAATTTTTTCCACAAAAGCTAAAAGATCTTAAAACCATTTGAAACGATCCTAGATGTATTAGCCTTGAAACAGCACCCTTGTAGTAGCATCACACATTTGTAGAATACGTTTCACGAGATTTTTACCCCACAACATTTTTTACAAAAAAATTTTTGAATTTTAGTTTGAAGTAGCTGGGACTAATCGTTAATTTTTGGCAATTTTTTTTTTTGTCGACGGTGCTACGCATTTTTTTCAAACAAAGTATGTATGTATGTTCGAAATTTTTTTTATAGGGAAGCAAATGAGCAGCACGTTGCACTTTATTATACTCATTTTAATGAGCTAAAAAACTTTAGGCAAATTTTTTGCTAAAGTTTCTAATTAAAAAGTGCGAAGTTTTGGTGAAACTTTGCAGAATTAATTTTCATAGTTTTTGCATAAAGTCCGATATTTGGCTACATTTTGTTTTTGTTAGGAAATGAGCTTTACTTTCATAAGAAAAAAAATTATTAACAAAAGAAAAATAAGCAAACCTTGCTAAAATGTAGAGTCCTAAATTATATTTTGGTCACTGTATGTGTTCCTCAATTCGAATCACAGGCATCCAGATTGGAAAACTGTTAATGGAGAAAATTGCGATCATATATCAACATCATATAAGAGCTGTTAAGGCGTCGAATTAACGAACACCGAATACGGGACATATACAGGACATTAAAGAAATACAGAACATTTAGCGTCCCGTATAAAATAAATTAATTACCAGGACAATTGGTCAAAAAAGAGGAATGTCCCGTATAATACAGGACGGATGGTCACCGTACTTATACGTACGTGATTTTGAATAAAAGTCGTAAAAAATGGCTGCCCAAAGTTTCAAGAAAAGTCCATTTAAAACATACTTAAGTATAAGAAATTTTTCTGATCAATGACATTCAAAGGCTTTCTGTGTAAAATCTTACAATGAAACTGTACTTACTTGGTAGAAACCTATAATTGGTTTCTGTGAAGGGCAGAAATGACCCCAAATTCGCTTACTAAACTGTAAAAAAATATTGAATTAAGTGAAAAAAGATATGCAGTAAGTAAATTCTATTCAATAAAATTTTTTTGCTGCTTTTATTTTGTTATTTTTTTGTGTTGTTTTAAGCATTTGCTTGTTTTGCGCTCTCGGAGCTAGCTTTTCACTTCTTCAATCAAAATAAGAATTTTTTGTGTTAGTCGCAAGGCATATAATTAACAGGTAGTAGCAGTAGAGCAGCTGATTTGATTTTTTTTTTCAAATTATTTGGTCTCTAAACTGTCAAATATTGTTGATTTTTTTACATAAATTTTAATTGACAAATTTTTTGCATGTGAATCTAAAAAAAAGTGATTGAAACCCAGCCTTTGAAACGTTTGCTTAACTCAGGAGTATAAAACCACTAGACCACCAAGTCCCTTAGGGGGGCCGGTATGCTTACGCGCGACTTATAAGACCAAGCGTCTAAATGCATGCTATGTACTGCTGCATGTGCACTTCTCAATTGCCATATAATAAAACATTCTTAAGTTATTATTTGATGCAAATCAAAGTTTGCCCGGCCTTGTCTGATGCATCCCCCGGACAGTGTTTCCGCTAACCTTGCGTTTACATTAGAAAAGACAATTGAGAATATGTATTAGTTATCAAATTCTTGTATAAAGTAGGCGTCTGGACAATTTTAAAGACAAAACAATTTCCATCAACCGCCGTTAGCCTCGTTTGGCGTGAATTTCATATTATTTACTAAATTATCCAAACATAAACAACTGTTTCATAGTTCTGCGATTTTTTGCAATTATTTATTGCCTTTTTTCCCCAAATTAACCAAGTTTTTACCGAATTGTCCAATTTAATGGCCAGTATGTATTTACAAAGAAAGAAAGTCGCTCCAGTTTTTAATTTTTTTAATTTATATTTCACATCGCCCAGTATGATTAAAAAAAAGTATACTATTTTTTGGCACCTTAGATATTTACCAGTAGTAGGAACAAAATACACATAAATGTTTGATATGCCTTGGTTAGACGCAACTTATTGATGTACATACATATGTACCTTAGGGTGGTCCAAAAGAAGTAAAGTCGGAATTTGAATGCCTCACCGTCTAGAATTGTTCTATGCCAAAAAAATTATACCCCTGATTTTTTTTTAATTGCCATCTCAAAAAATTAATGAGGTCCTTTAAAATGTACCATGTATTTTATATAGGGAAGAAACCAAATTCTTGGAAATCAATATTTTTCAATCGGAAAACTCTATTACCCTTTAGGAGACTTAGAATAATAACACCAAACTTTTTATTTGAGATGGTTACTCAAGGGTGGTCCCATACAAATTTGGTTTATTTTTGATAGTGGATCGTGAAGAAATTAACGGTAGTCCTAAATTTTTATATGAGCATTGAGGTCGGATGTATTTTTTGCTTAAAAGTTACTTGTTACTACATAAATGTTTGTGTTTGATCGACTTGTGCACTCACTCAGCATTCGTTGTTATGTTCGTCTAATTTGTGAATGAGTAAATAGTGGTGGCTGCTGTGACTGGGTGTTAGAAGTCCGTAGGACTTGGGTTTGATAACTGCTTATCTAACTTAGAGTAGGTTTTTTGTAACAGCGGTCTCCGTTCGGTACGCAATGGCATAGCTCCGAGTGTATTTTTGCCACGAAAAAAGCTTTTTTTTCTTTAGGTCCTTCTATTTGTGTAACAACATTTGCAACTTTCAGAATATATCGATCCCTTTGAGCGAAATGATCGTATATGCCATTTTGTCGAAATTGACTTTTTGATGCAAATTTGCTCTGCACCCCACAACGCATCACCTGGTAAAATATTATAGGTGCATTCCCTATAGTTACGCCAAAAAATTGCTCTATATTTTATCGTATGTTATAATGCATTTTTTCTTGTGTAAAAAAGTAGAAAAACGATCTCCTGTATATGTAATTTGGTTTCTGGCACATGCGATAATTTTGCGCAAAGGGGCCGATATACTAGACACTAAATTGTGGAAAAATATATTTGCGCTAACAAACTCACGAAAATGCTACAATATTATGAATTCAACCTAATAACCTGAAATATTGGGCGTTATCAGCGTTCTCAAGTGGTAGGTGGAAATGATTGAGCACAGTGTTGATACCCGTATTAACTGACGTCTAATAATTATCATGGGGGGCGGTCAATTACGTACGTATGCATCCACATACAATATGTAAATACAGTGGACGAAAAAATTATAACCGTACGACATTTTGGCAAGTTATAACCCATTTTTTTATGTTATTTAAATTTGGTTATTTTTTTTATAAATATGTATATAGTGCATTCTTTTACAAAATCTGTGCAAATCCCAGTTTCAAACTTGTGCATTATTTAAAGACTTTCATAAAAATTTCGGGGCTTTGTTAACTAGATTTCCTAGAAAGATTCTGAGTGTGAAGTTTTGTAGATGTTTGAATTCTAGTAGAACAAAGTGCAAGTTTCAAATGGTGGATTTTTTAGAATTTTCTCTTGTCGAAGATGTTAATATTTTTTTTCATAAAAAATCAATTGTGCTTATTCGTTATTTGGAAGCAAATGGGGAAAAGAATATCTAAAAAATTTACAGTAATTTTCAGCCAGTTGAAACTTGCAATTTATTCTACTAGAATTAAGTGAGCTACAAACTGCATACTCTGAATCTTTCTAGGAAATCTAATAAAAAAAGCTAGACATTTTTACTAAAGTTTATTGAGATTTTCTTAAATATTGCACAAATTTTGAAACTTGGATTTAAATGGGTTTCCCAAAAACGAGGAGGTTATCAATTCGTCGGAATATTTTTTTTACGTATGTTACCGCATAACCTTGGACCACGTTAACCGATTTCCATAATTATTTTTTTAAAATGACCTCAGAAGTCGTCCCATACTGAATTGGATTAGTTTCGATCATTAGAGCATGAAGAAATAAACGATAATCTAAAATTTTTATATGAGAATTTTTTTATTTTTTGGTTTTGTTTTTTGCTTAAAAATTACTTGTTATACAAAAAAAAAAAAAAAATGTTAAAATAAAAATATACACACAATCCATGAACCAACGACTACAGATCACCTAATCAGCCATCGTTGTATTTGTAATCGATTTTCAGAAAAAAGTTTTCGTAGCGTTTTTGACGTTTTTCGGTTTTGTTTACACCGTCTTCTACCTCTTCGTAGCGATTGAATGTGTTTTCTGCAGCGATTTTAATTATAAATTTTGGTTTATTACATATTTATGATATAAAATAAAGTGCTGTGTGATCGGAACAAGTTTGTGCGTATGTTTGGTTTGCCAAAAGGCGTAAATTTGCGTGAAAAGTGGGTGCACGTTTGTGGCCAGAACGTTGGCATTGAAAAATCGACCCGTGGTAATGATATGCGATTGTAAAACACTTTCAATCATGAAAACCATATTTTATGAACTTTTTTTG